AGTAAAATGTAAATTGCAGAAATCTATACTGGCTCAGTCATTGCCCAGTTAACAAGGACCACACTAAATGCTGGCATTCCTGGACATCTGCTGAGCAACCAGGGCTAGCAACTACAGAACTACTGGAAGAAAAGGTGTTTACCCATCACAAATATACAGTCAGTTTACATCTTGTTATGATATTTAACACTATCGAACAGCCAAATCTGCCTATTCCAGGTCCTTGGAATGAATACAATAAGTAAACAAAAAGGCCAATCCAGTCTGAACATCTGGCTGACTATGTAATCATACCAATAAAATGAGGAAGTAAAATAATAAAAGGAATAAATAATACTATAGCCACACTCTAGGGATTGATATACATACACAGTAGACAGAACTTCAAGAATTCAGTGTTCAGCGGAGTGATAGCACAAGGGAAAAATCTGTCCCTATGTCTAATTGTCTTGGCATGCAATACCCTATAGTGCAGGGTTGTCAAACTTGATTTCATTGAGGGCCGGGGTTGTGTTTGACCATGGGGGCCGGGATGGCCATGGGCAGGGTGGGCATGGCCAGCTTGATGTCACTCATTTGTCTTTGGTGGCCCAAGCACTCTGTCAGTGAAAACAGGCTTCTGAGCTCTGTTTTCCACTGCGACGGCCTTGTACCGTCCTCTGCCAGTGAGAACGGAGCTTGGGGGCACACATTTTTGCTGGCAGAGGCACCACAAGCCAGTCCTTTGCTGTTTCTAGGGCAGCCCACAGGACAGATCTAAGATCCCCGCAGGCTGGATCTGGCCTCTGGACCTTGAGTTTGACTCTCTGTGTTGTTTATCATTATTTTAGGTAGAAAAATCTCATTATTCAGGTTAAATTGCCATGTTGGCACTTTGCGATTAATAAGTGGGTTTTGGGTTGCAGTTTGGGCACTTGGTCTCTAAAAGGTTTGCCATCACTTCCCTATAGCATCATCTTGAGGGAAGAAGTTGAAACAGTTTATGTCCAGGATGTGAGCCGTCTATAGATACTTTCACAGCCCTCTTTCTGGCTTGTGCATCATACAGGTCCTCAATGGAAGACAGGCTGGTTGCAATTATTTTTTCTGCAGTCCTAACTTCAGTCTGTTGAAATCTGTGTCTGTCTTATTTGATTGCTGTATAATTGCCAAACCAGGCAATTATAGAAGTGAAAATGACAGATTCAATAATTCCTTTGTAGAACTGTATCTTCAGGTCCTTGGGCAGTCTGAGCTTTCTGAGTTGGCATAGGAAAAGCATTCTTTATTGTGCTTTTTTGATGGTATATTGTGTTAGGAGTCCCTTTTAAGTTCTGAGATATTATAGAACCTAGAAACTTGAAGGTCTCTACTGTTGATACTGTGTTGTCCAGTATTGTAAGAGGTGGTAGAATAGGAGGGCTTCTCATAAAATCTACTATCATATCTATAGTTATGAGTGTGTTCAGTTCAAGATTGTTCTGGCTGCACTACAGGGCCAGTTGTTCAACTTCCCATCTATATGCAGATTCATCGTCATCTTGAATGTAGACCAATCACTGTTGTATCATCTGCAAACTTCAGTACTTTAACAGATGAATCCCTTGAGATGCAGTCGTTGGTATATAGAGAAAAGAGTAATGGAGAGATCACACAGCCCTGGGGGCATCTGTGTTGATTGTACAGGTGTCTGATGTGATTTTGCCTAGCTTCACCTGCTGCTTCCTATCTGTTAGAAAGTTTATGATCTAGTTACAACTGTGGTCAGGCACAGCTAGCTGAGTGAGTTTAGTTACAAAAATATCTGGAATGATAATATTGAATACCGAGCTGAAATCTACAAAATGAACCCTTGCATAGGTCCTTGGAGAATCAAAATGTTGTAAGATATAGTGCAATGCTATAATAATGGCATCATCTGCCAATCTATTTGCTCAGTAGGCAAATTGCAAGGGTTCTAACAATGGATCCGTGATGGTTTTCAGGTGGGCCAGCACTATACTTTCAAGGGTTTTCATAATTACAGATGACAGAGCAACTGGTCTGTGGTCATTCAGCTCCTTAATGGAATATTTCTTAGGCATTGGGGTAATAGTAGAGCATTTGAAGCAAGAAGGAACATCACATCTCTAGTGATTTATTAAAAATGCAAGTAAAGATGGGGCCAATTGATCAGCACAAAGTTTCAGGTAAGAAGGAGTTATCTTATCTGGGCCTGATGCTTTTCCAGACTTTTGTCTGTGAAATAGACCTCGCACAAGAGACCTTGCCTCCTAAGTCCAAGACTTCACTGATTTTATTGTTGGTTTTATTATTTTAAGCTTTTGTCTATAAACAGGTACACGGTGACATACAGTGATCAGAGTGTCCCACAGCTGTTCATATTAAAGACCGATAAGCATTTTTTAATGTTGTGTAGCAGTGGTCTAAATATTCTAGTAAGACAGTTGACATGCTGTATGTATCTTGGTAACTTCCTACCAATACGAACGTAGCAGTTCATCTATTTGAGCAAAGATTAGTTAAATGCAGAAGTGTGTGGGAGATTTGCTTACTCCATGTTCCTGAGCCTTTATAATATGCCTCCTCTCTTGCCTCTCTTCCTCCTTCTTTTGTTCTTCTGCTTCATTGTTTCTGCTGGGCCGAAAGAGATAATTGCCATTCCCTCAGTAAGAATTTCCTCCGCGTTTGAAAAGAAGGGAGGAATAGTCCCAGATAGATGTTTGTTATTTAAAATCCATTGTTTGATATTAAAAAGTTCAATTCTTGAGTATGAAATTCTCAGAGTCACAGAAAATAATAGAAAACTTCAAAATTATAAGAGAGCATTTCACCAAGGCTGCCATCAGTGGCACCATCTTGAAGCGAAGATAAACTTTCTGACAGTGAAACATTTAATCAGTGGAATCACTTGCCTTCCAGAGTTGTAGCTCCTCCTTCATTGGTGGTTTTCAAAAATAGACTGGACAATCATTTAACTGGCATGATGTAAGGTTCTCCTGCCTTGAGCAGAGCTTTGGACTAGAAGACCTTAAAGGTTCCTTTCAGTCTATGATTCTATGTTCTGTGCAGTCCTTGCACTTGATTTTACAGATCTTGCAGTGCTTCTGAGTACTTGAAACATCTTCATATTTTTAGGTTAGCTGAACTTGAGAGAACACTCTTGGCAGATTGTATTTCAGAGTGTGGAGAGGACCTACTGTCAGGTGTGCCTCTGTTAAAAACCCAAGAAAGAAAACCTCCCAACTCCATGTTTGTAGAGAAGAGGTACTTTTACTGAGTTTGGAATGATTTATTTATTTATTTTAAATTTATATAACGCCCTTCTCCCTGAGGACTCAGGGCGGTGTACAGCCAGAATTAAAAAACATAAAATACAAATATTAAAAAAAATGATAGCAATGATAGCAATGAAGGAAAAGCAAGATCTGAGCCAAAAGGCGTGAAAGTTACATATTGAAAGTTTCTCCAAATCCCAGGGACCCAGGCTGAATGTCCAATCCCCATCCCATATGGTGTCATGTGGAGCACATCTTCAGGTGTTTTCATCCATCTGGTATTCCAGGATGGTTGACCTTGACTGGGTATAAACAACTCCATTCAGCTGCACAGTAGATCATGAGAGCATCCCTCCCTTTTTGTTCACAGGCCCTTTTCACTCCACTCACTTCCCCACCCAAATGCCAATCTTCCCCCCCTCCCCGATACACTATTACAGCCAATAGCAAGCGAGTATCAAAGAGGCTGACACCTACAGTGCTTATTCTTAATACAGCACAGTATTAAGAATAAGATAAGGGACATATTATTATATTTTGTCTCCATCTATTTTGCTCATGTGATTAACTTCTATGATGATATATAAAATATAGATCATAGAACATCAGCCCCATTCCTTAGCAAAACAAAACATGTCACTTCATACACTTCAGGTCTATTATTCTATGTAATTTACCTTTCAGAATATCTTATATTCAAAGCACAAAAAATCTTCTGCAAATGTGCATGACTGAATAATACTGATTAACCCTTAGAGCTTGGGAATACTTTTGCAACAATCAGGTCTCAGACATTCTTTCAGAAAGAGAATGATCCTGGTCCTATTTGAGTTAGGAATGTATTCTCATTGTTTTTATTATGTCTGATGACATATTTGTTTAGTCTGTGGTTGATCATATCTCACCAATCTGCCATAACTTCATATGCACATATGTGCAACATTACACAGGCCTATTTTTGTAGTCTAAGGCTGGTAGTGAGCTCAGAAAGTTCACTGAATCCCTATGTTCCACAAAGAATTTCTCCATCTCTGATTTGGAGCTAACAGGTTAGACCATTTTGCCCAAGGTTATCCTCTCTAAATATCTTTAGATATTTTTTGATCTTATTATGCAGATTTTTTAAAAAAATTATGTCAAGGCATGGACAGTTTTCTTCAGGATTTCAAAGATTAACAAGTTCCCCCTCTATAAAAAAAAATAAGGTGTCACCTAATCTGCAATAGGCTTATAAATATTTGTGAACAGAGATACCTTTAAACATACTCTTAAAAATCTCAATACACTACTCTTTTAAAAAAATAGACATTTTAATTCTGGATTGCAGAACTGGTCTACCACCAAACTAAAGACAGCCTGCTGCCCATAGATGTTGAGCCCTGATGGTTTGAATTATCCTCTGTTCATAGCTTGCTTTGAGGCATAAAATTCACTTTGCAAAGTTATTATTGGGATTTGGGAATAAAGAACAATTTGAGAATGTATTCATAATGCTCTTTTTCCATATGACTAGATTATATCGTTAGGGGGAAACATACAAAGCAAAACTTACAAAGCAAAGCACCTTGTGGGACTGAAATCCTTTGTATGTGTTGTTATTTGCAGTGCATGCCAAGAAAGTCATGGGCGCAAGAGCCAAGCTGACGAACTAATTAAATATATGAATGTATATGTTTAAACAGCCTTATAAAGGAGCATTGGAAATCTGCAAGATGAGCGAATATCTTATAACTTCTTCCGCAGGTGCGAGGATAGCTACAAGCCATGGACTTTCTGTCCTGCTTCTTGTTTGTGGCTTTGTGAAGGGTGCTTTGCTTTGATCTAAAAAGTGCTGACTTTTTCCAATATCACTTTCTCTTCTTAAAGCAAAGAGAAAATCGCCTGTAAAATCTACGGAGCGGACAGCAAAGCTGACCCTAACTTCCAACCACCACCCTACACCCAATGTACTCTAATTCGCTACACAATGGAGCACCTTCTTCAGGAAATGCATACAAAATTAATAAATAAAACATTATACTTTTTTAAAAAGAGAGAGAGAGAGAGAAGAGACTAATATCAAGTTTCTTCCCTTCTTTTGAATCTATTTTTTCCCCTTTTTTCTCTCTTTTTCTTTTTTCTTTTTCCTTTTTAAGGGGAATTGGCACACTGTAAAAAATATTGTTTAATGTGGCAATGTACATTTTTCTGTACTTTTTCTTTTCTTGACTCAAACAAATGAAAGTACTGAATTCCCCTGATTCTTCAGCTGTTATTTATATTTTATTTTTATTTATTTTTTCATTTTTTGATATTATCAAACTGGATATGATTCTTATCCCAGAAAGAGATAACTCTAAGCAGAAAGATAATGAACTCAACTTCCCTCCTACTACATCTGAACATGTAGCCTCTCTAGCTCTCCAGATGCCAACTCTACTCGGATGGCAGCGGAGGGAAACTTCTTTGTCCTTTGGAAGAACTTCTTTCCTGGATGGCAAATCTTGTCATAAATCCAATGCAGCTAATAAGTACAAAAAAATCTATAATGATGGAACATGTGCAAGAAAGTGTCAGAGCCTTTATTGGGCTTTCTTAGTTGATTTCTTCCTCTCATGACTATTGCTTTCTTTACTGTTTGATGGTGGCAGTTACTAGCCTGGCCAACCCCTATGGGGTACTTAAAGGTTTCTATAAATACATATATGTGTGTGTTCTCTATTTTGGTGGGTTTTCTTTAATTTTGCAACTTCTGTATCTGCAAACTTTAACTTACATTCTGTAAACTGCTTTTGTATGTGATACAACCTCAAATAGATGTTCCTTGGAACATTTTACAAGCCAGTTTTGAATATTATCTCAATGTGGTGCCACCAACTTGACATCTTTTTTCTTTCACCAAAGCATTCGTTGTAAGTTATAATTCAGTGCTATGTGGCATTTTGTAATTTGTGCAATCACTTTCCACTGGCCTGAGTCCTTGCTGATGGCAATGCTGCTAACTCTGTAAAAATGCACATTAAATTTGTTATGGTCTCTAATAGGAAATATATGAGTTGCCCAGACATGGTGGAATTATTTCTGTAATTTTATGAATTACAAATACTCTGCAAAGAAAAAAAAATGAAAGGAAGGAGGAAAAGAAGAGAGACATAAAAAAATGCACATTCGTCTCTGGTTGGATAAGTTTAATTTTAATTTAATTTAATTTAATTTAATTTTGTTATTAATAAAAAGAAGAACTTGGTATACTGACAACTAAATTTTCTCAAAATATAGGAAGTAGTCTCATTTATGAGGCTACACAGAATTATTATATTCTAATTGACATGTACCGTATTTGATGTTATAATGAGACAGCCTATATGAGAATGACATTTCATTGTGAAATCAGTTTTTTTAAAAGATATCCAAGTCTTTATACTTCTTAACTAAATGAGTGCCAACAGAATGTGTAATGACTGTACATTAAATGAACCTTTACTTCTGTTAAAGGGATATATCAACCAATAAGCCTCAAGGGAAAATAACAATTATTCATAATGAGCTGTTCTTCTCTTGCCATAAATACAGAGAGAAATTTTTTCTACTGTACTGACTAGCCTTTTTTGAGTCTGAATCTCTGATCCAATCCACATGTATAGATTTAATTTTCACCTTACATCAAAAATATTTGATATGATAATTTAGTTGTAGTGCTGGGGATTATTTGGTAGCAATTCCCTTTTCTCCATGCAGAACTATATGTTACCTTGGGACCTTTTGGAAGAAAAGTGGATTTGCCAACAGTAACTTCACTTTGTGTCACCACAATGGCAGCACATGAGAGATGGCCAGAGATCCAGGAGCCTTAATGTTCCAAAATTAGGGCTTAAGAAAAGTTTTATGATTTCTTGGTTTTATCATTCTTTTGTGAGAGAAGCTATTCCTTAAGAATCAGGTAAAAGCAAAGCATTAGATGTGAGTAATAGTAGAAAATCCTATACCCATAACATATATATATATAACATAAAAAAATAAATCCATAATGCACGTGTCTGGCAGCATAATTATCAGCATAATTATTTCAGGCTCACAAGTAATGGCTATCTTTCTTTTTATACTTTTTGCTGCCAGTTGATTCCTTCATCTAATTTCTCCCATTTGACACACAGTTCTATAAACTTAAACAAAGAGAATTGGGCTTGTCCTGAGCCTGGAGGGTTTAGAAGAAAGGGGCTTCCCTTCCTCCCTCCCTCCCTCCCTCCCTCCTTCTCTCTCTCTCTCTCTCTCTCTCTCTCTCTTTCTTTCCTCTCCTACCTTAAAATCATCATTTCCTATACCTCAGAGAGCACATATAAGATTGCCAGACAATAACAGCATTCCAGGACAATAGGTGTTCTTTTTAATTATCTCTTCTTCACCCTACAAGGGTAGATATTAATTTTATAAAATAATATAGTTAAGAAGTGAGATCCTTTCGCCTGACTTTCACTGAATATTTGGAAAATACTAGTTCCATTTTAGGGCTTGGTATTGGGTACAGTAATGGCATTGGACAATCAATAAGTCAGACTTGCCCCTGTCAGGTCCCTAAGGAAAGAAAGATCCTTGACTCCATTTTGGTGAACTGATGCGTTCTTTTACTAAAGGTTGCTGGTTGTAGTATAGTCAGGCTGGAACTAAGATCCCCGCACAAAAGGTTACAAAGTTTTTTCCTCAACTCAGCCCTCCCCTCTTTAACCAGTTCATCTTCAGGTAATGGAGAGCCGCATAGATGTTTTGAGACTCGCTGAGATGTCCACATTCCATTCTCAGGATGAGTGGCCTTGAAGACTGGCACAAACTGGTTCCATGCCACTCTGGTCTTTGTCAAGCTGTCATCCTCCCTCACTATTTCCCATCACATCACCATTCATGTTTATTGCCCATTTGTCCCCCCCTACCCTCTAGCATTTGATTGCAGGTTGCCAGCTAGGCACCAAACTGAAGATGGCAGAACTGACACAATATTTGTTAAAGATCCTCATATGGGAACAGTTCTTTCTTACTTAATATTCTTGCCTACAACCAGTGATGGGATTCAGCCAGTTCACACCACTTCGGGAGAACCGGTTGTTAACTTTCTGAGCAGTTTGGTGAACTGGTTGTTGGAAGAAATCATTAGGGCAGAGAACCAGTTGTTAAATTATTTGAATCCCACCACTGCTTACAATTAAAACAAATCCAAGCATTCAGCAGTAATGCAAATGTTACATTTGATCAGGGGTGAAATGCTCCCAGTATGGACCGGATCACCCGATCCGGTAGCGATGGCAGCGGGTGGTTCAGAGAACCAGTAGCAACGGCAGTTGGAGGCGCCACCCACCCACCCAATCGCCGCCTCACACCTGCTCGCCCTTCGCCTTGGGTTGGGGGCCTGGGCCCAAGGATGCACCATAACCCGAGGCCCCGGAGCTGCCGCCTGCTCGCCGCCTACTCGCCATCTGCCTCAACCGGGTTGGGGAATGCACCATTCCCTGACTCTGGCCTTTCCGCGGAGCTGCCACCCACTCTCCCTTTGCCACGTGGCGTGTCCTTACCTTTCTCCTACGGTTGGCTGCCAGGGAAGGCAAGCACCTGAAAGTTACCAGAGCTGCTCTCCTTGAATGTGCCGCCACTATCACCGCCCTGTTCCACATGCCGGCTGCGCAAGCGCACACCATTTATTTCATTCATTCATTAGCGGCAGGTTGGGTGTGCGCTTGTGCACCATTTATTTCATTCATTCATCAGCGGCAGGTTGGGTGTGCGCTTGCGTTGCCGGCGCATGGAACAGGGCGGCGATGGTGGCGGCACATTCAAGGAGAGCAGCTCCGGTAACTTTCAGGTGCTTGCCTTCCCTGGCAGCCAACCGTGGGAGGAAGGTAAGGACACGCCGCATGGCAAAGGGAGAGCAGACAGCGGGTCTGGGGCAAGGCTGGTGTTGGGGAATGGTTTATTCCCCGACCCTGTTGAGGCAAGTGGTGAGCAGGTGGCAGCTCCGGGGCCTTGGGGAATGGTGCATCCCTGGGCATCCCCCAACCCAAGGCGAAGGGCGAGCGGGCGGCTGCTCCAGGGCAAGGTCGGAGTTGAGAAATGGTGCCTTCCCCGACCCTGTCGAAGCAGGCAATAGCTCCAGGGAATGGCACGTCCCTGGGCTCCAGCCCAAAGCGAAGGAGGAGCAGGTGGCGAGTGGACTGCAGAATAGAAATTTAAAAAGTTTCCCTACCAGGTTCTGTGGGCGTGGCTTGGTGGGGGGGGGGTCTTGTGACTGAGTGGACGTGGCTTTGAGTGACATTGAGTTGGCCACACCTACTCAGTCACAGGACATACACCCCCACAAGCCACGCCCACAGAACCGGTAGGGAAAAATTTTAGATTTCACCCTGCATTTGATCATTTGATTTAGTTGATTCTAATGGTTAAGAGTAAATGATTAAAGCTATCTAGTAAATCACACAAATAATAAAACTGACACTGAAGAAAGATCTTTTTAATTTGTTTTTTTAAAAAGTGAATGTTTCTAATGGGGTGAAATTTCAAAGGATTTTTGAAGATAATAAAAAGGATTTCAAATTAATTACTGCAATTTCTTTCTGTGAATGTGTGAACTTCCATGCAGAGAACATTTAACTGTAACTAGAGACTGACCCTAATGTGAATAATTCATCTGCAAACTTCTTTGAGCAGAAGTAGAAGATTTTACAAATGTTTTTTTTATAAAGTTTATTTCCATTTTTAAAAACAATGCTTTACATATATACATACAAAATTATTGCAACTAGCGTACACAAATATGCGCCTATACAACAATACAGTCCATTTCATTTCCCTCTTTTTTTTTCCCACCCAAATATACCATAAATTCCAACATTCGTAATAATCAGAATCTTTTTGATTCCTAAGTAATTTCGTTAACCGGTCTGCCTCTGCGCATTCTGTAATTTTCCAAATCAATTTATTCTCTGTGGGTAATAGTTCATTTTTCCATTCTTGCCCGTATAATATCCTAGCTGCAGTAGTGATGTGGAGGATCAAGTACCATTTTTCCTTCGTTACTTTGTCTGATGATTTTGCAAATGTTTACATCTGGGTAATGATACAAAGATTCAAAGTTGCTACAGGCTATGCCCAATGAAACAGTAAACTTGTGGTACATATCATACTCCATGGAAAAATGTTCTCCTCACAGAGATTTTAAGCAGAAGCAGCAGGTAAAATTAATATAAAAGAAGTGGCATTATTTGTATGAGTCAACAAATTGATAACATGCATATTCTTCTGATGTGAATATTGGCAACATAAATGCCTGAACAGCTTAGAACTATAGAAGGGTAGGAAGAGAATGTTGTCATTATCTAAGAAAAGTTACCTTGGAAGTTTTGTTACAGAGATTGTACAAAATGTTTTATTAGGTAAAACTTTGCTCAACAGCAATAATTGCAAGAGGTTTAGTGGACAATCACTTAAACATGAGCCAGCAGTGTGCTGCAGCTGCCAAAAAAGTCAATACAATCCTAGGCTGCATTAATAGAGAGACAGAATCAAGATCACAAGAAGTGATACTACCACTTTGTAATGTCTTGGTAAGACCATACTTGGAATACTGCATCCAATTTTGGTCACCACAATCTAAAAAAGATGTTGAAAGTCTAAAAAGAGTGCAGAGAAATGCAATGAAGATGATTGGGGGTATCAAGGCTAAAGCTTATGAAAAACGGTTGCAGGAATTGTGTATGTCCAGTTTAGTCAAAGAAGAACTGGGGGGGGGGGGAGAGCATCGCGGCGAGATAGTCGAGGAAATAGCGGGTTCTGACGAGCTCCATGAAAACCCAGACTGAGAAGCCGCTGCCGAAGAGGAACAGGCAAGTTCCTTGAAGGGCAGAGGAAACTCTCTCCAACTCGGCAGCAGGGGCGGCAGCCATTGCGGCCACCAAAAAGCTGGGGCAACCAGACTAAGCATTGAGCAGGAGTGGTGCCCTAAACTGAGTTTTGAGCCGGGTGAGTGACAGCCAAGTCATAGGGAAAAAAAAAAAAAAGAAAGAAAGAAAGAAAAAGATTTTTAAATCTAAAAGAGCCCCAGCAGAATAACAGCAGCTAATGGGCATGGGGGAAAGGAAGGAAGGAGACTAAAATGGAAACTTAAATTGACAAAACCTGAAAAGAAAATTGACTTTTGGATAAAAATATTTGGAGAACTTTAAAAATTAGAAGAAATAAAACCCATAACTGTGTAAAGGATTGGAAAGAAAGTAAGCAGATCCTCTTTTGAATGTTATAGAAAAACTAAAGAGAAATTGGAAATTAAGCCCTGTAATAGAAGTGTTGTACCAAAAAACAAAGAGGGGGGAAACGGACTGTGTAATTTGGATTGGACTTTAAAACTGATTTGGCATATAGAAAGGTAAAAAGAAGAAAAGGAAAAAAATATAGCAAAGACTGTTAACATGGATTGCAAACAAAATGGATACTTTTTCAGGCTGCTGATTGGAATTGTGGATTGTAGAGAGACATCTACAGGAGAAATAAGATCATTACAACACTGAACTTTTGCTTTGGAAAAATGGTGCAGGAAATTAGAGAAATGATGAAAATGATGTATTTGTCATTGAAAACAGAAGTAAGGGAAATAATTACAATGTTGCATGGAGAACTGAAACCTAATGATCCAAAAATTGTGTTAGAGTATACTCAAGCTGACAAGGAAATAACGAATGAGAAGCAACACATAGAGATTGAAAATAAAGAAGAAGACAAAGACAACGAGATTGACTATGGAAAACTAAATGATTATGTGGGCAGTAACAATAAAAAGGAGAATTTTAAAGATTGCATTGGGATTAACAATGGAAAAAACAGAAAAGGTGGAACAGACAAAAAGGGGAAAAAAGGATGGAATAGAAAGAATATAAAAAACTTAAATGATTATACTGGGAAAGACAGAAAAGAGGGAGAAGGGGTGGAAAACAACAGGAAATACAGGGCAAAATACAAGAGTCCATGACTTTGAAACAAAAAATG